TAATTTCCTTCCTAGTAGCTGGTACAGTGCTGTGTTTTGGATTTAGGGTGAGAACAATGTTGATAACACACCGATGTTTTAGTTGTTGCTAGGTAGTGTTTACACTAGTCAAGGACTTTTCAGCTTCCCAGGCTCTACCGACTGAGAAGGCTGCAGGTGCACTAGAAGCTGGGAGGGGGCACAGCCAGGGCAGCTGACCCAAACTGGCCAAAGGGGTATTCCATACCATGTGACATCATGCTCAGTATTTAAAGCTGGGGGAAGAAGAAGGAAGGGGGGGATGTTCAGAGTTATGGCATTTTGTCTTCCCAAGTCACCGTTACGTGTGATGGAGCCCTGCTTTCCTGGAGATGGCTGAACACCTGCCTGCCGATGGGAAGTGGTGAATGAATTCCTTGTTTTGCTTTGCTTGCGTGCACAGCTTTTGCTTTACCTATTAAACTGTCTTTATCTCATCCCACGAGTTTTCTCACTTTTACCCTTCCGATTGTCTCCCCCATCCCACCGGGGTGGGGAGTGAGCGTGCGGCTGTGTGGTGCTTAGTTGCCGGCTGAGGTTAAACCACGACAAGTGGGCGTGGTGGTGTTGGGTTGATGGTTGGACTCGATGATCTTAGAGGTCTTTTCCGACCTTAATGACTCTATGATTCTATGATTCTATATTGCAGTACAGTATAAACCTATTAGTTGAGCTTTAAATGGGTTAGCTTTAGTATTGGTAGCAATTTAGCTGTGTCACCACAGAGTTTTGCACTAATTCTTAATGTTTAAAGGCAGGACAAAATACTATATCTGTTGCTTGTGTTGCTGTAGCTTGATTATTTCCAGTATCTGAGCTAGACTATTGAAGTTAGCTTTGGCATCTCCACAATTCATGCTACACTTCACAGTAGAGTCAAAGCCTAGGAGAAAGCAGAAGGAAAACAGTTGAAGATAATCAGGTGAGAATAGTCTGTGAGAATTTCCAATAGAGATAAGTTGTTGCTGGTATGCTACAAAAAATAACAATATATTATTAATATTTTAAAGTACGATTTACTATATTCTGGAGTTATGATGTTGTCATGGTTTAAGCAACTTCATTGAAATTGTAACAAAGAATTACATTGTTAGGTTGGATAGACAGCGATATTTAACATTTAAAAACTGTATTTGAAACCCTGATTTTTCTTTAGAGTTTTCATTAAAAAATAGCTTCAGCCAATATATATGTACTCAGTTATGTATGTAACAATATAAACTTTAGAAGCAATGAGAACTCATCAGAATTGGTAGTGTTGTGTAAAACATTAACTGCAGCTGCCTTTTTTAATTTCAGATTGCGCTGCCACTTGTGGGAGACATGGGTGCTATACTGAAGGTAAACGTTGTCAGAGGTTAAGTATCTTTGTTTACTATAAGCATGCTTTTTAAACCAAAATATGCACTGGAAGGTTTCTGTAGGTTCAATTCTGAACTATTTGGCTAGCCTAAAATAATTTTGAGATTTTTGTTTTGATTTTAAAAAATACTCAAGAAATGTATTTGATAGGAATTTCGCAAAATAGCATTTGAACAGTATGTCAGGTAGTAGCCAGCCAACTGCCTGTTCAGTACATCCAGCCCACAGTATGGATTGCTACAATTATACAGCATTCTCCACTTTGTAGCATTAATATTGGTAATATACCAAATGGGGAAAATAGTCTAGAATTTCTAAGGTATTATTTTGAAAAATAATAAAATTCGAAGTGATCTGCCGTATTTCAAGATGAAAATTGCGCTCAGGAGGATTTCTATATGAAAAGCACACATCATTTCTGAGGAGAGAGATTATCCTATTCTACTGTCCTTTATTAATACATGTACTTAGAGTTTATTGACTTTCTCATTCCCAAATTTGATTTCTTTTAGGTCTGTGTTTGGGCTTTTCCCTGACTCTTTCTGTTTGTAATTGTGTTTTCTTTCTCCTGTACGTGCTCTTCTATCTCTTTGTCAGTTCTCTCTCTTACCGATTCTTTATGCTTCATTTCTCTCTGTTTTGTGGTTAGTGCTTCTATAAGATTGTAATTTAGCTGGAAAATGCTTTTCTCAACAAAGCAGGAATCATTTAGTTTAAAATAACTGTAGATTTGAAGCTGGTGGAGATAACAAGTAGCCTCCATCTCTGCCTAATCCTTAAAAGGAAGATGGTTTCCTCAAACCTAAACACAGGTGTGTCTGGGACTATCCAAATGAAGGCATTTATGATTCCTCTCAAAATGAAGCTAAAAATTTGTTAGCATGGTTTGAGTAGAGTGTGTGAGAGATGGGGAGGCAAACAAGGAAGGAGTACTGAACAAGTACTTTGTGTAGAAGAGAGAAAGGACTAAAGAGAAGGCTTTGGGGTAAAATGAAGGGATAGTCACAAAGGCAGGAAGGAAGCAGTCTGCATAGATCAGACCTTCCGCCTGTGTCACAAAATGGTTATTTATCACTTTGCTTTGTGTCTGTTCCTCAGGGTGATCCCGGCACAAGAGGTCCTCCAGGCATCCCTGGTAGAGAAGGGCCAAAGGTAAGTTTTGAAGAGAGTACTTTACATTGCTTTGTTGCTTGTTAAAAGTAAAAGGCCAGACCCTTACCTCTGACAGTCTTGACTTTTTTGTCTGATCCCTATCCCTGTAGCATCTGAGCAGCCTAAAGGTTCAAACAATTTTTATGGTTCAGCCCTCTTCCTGTGTAAGTTCACCTTTCCTCTCAGGAAAGTGAGCGAAATAGCCTGAGTTGAATCCCAAGCCAGGATAGGTCTTTTGTGTCTTGTGTCCATTAAAGCTAACTCAGATTTGACTGTCCAGTAGCACGTTGCCATCTATAGGTTTATTTTAGGTGAGTCAGTCAAGTCACACAAGAATTCCGCAGTGAAGAAGGAAGCTTCCCGTATCTCCCTCAAGTGTGCAACAGCTGGACCACCCTGTGCCTTTGCATCTTGTTCCCATGGGAGTAATGCAGCCATTTCACTGGGACTTGAAGTTTCATTGATATCCATCAAACTTCTCCTTCACTGTAAATGGATGAAATGCCACGTGGTTTGGCATACAGATATCTCCTATAGTTGAGCATAATTCCATGAAAGTGTACTTTCTCCATTTCAGCAAGCATTTAAGCTCTTTGGTATTAATAAGATGTCTCCCTCAGGCCTTCTGGCTAGTTTGCCTACTAGGTAAAAAGCAGTCGTTTCCTTTCACCTCGATGGGAGGCATGTTTTAAAGCTTTCAGGTAGTATTGAGCCCTTTTTTCTGTTTTAGGCACTATAGCTGTAAGGACTTCATGCTAGCATATATTAAATGTGGGTCATAAAATGCCCTGCAGAGCATGAAATTCATTGTTCTCTAATAGAAAGTATTTGTCTAAATGTTATATTTTCTTAGGGAAGCAAAGGTGAACGTGGATTTCCTGGGCTTGCTGGAGAGAAGGGCGATGAGGTAAAGTTACTTCATTTCTATAGCGGTTGCATTCTTATCTGAACCTGAATAAAGATGTAGACCAAAAATGAAATGCACAGAATGTTATTCAGTTCTTTAAAACTGCTGAGGTAGTAACGTATTGTTATAAATAGCCCTCGATTCTGAATTTTCAACAAGATTAAATGCTATTATTCAATTAAATAACATCTATTTAATTTTTGTCTGAGGATTTTTGCTCATTTGTATATTTAAAAGCCTCACATACATTTAAATGCTAATTTTTAAGAGTACAGGATAGAGTTGTGTTAGTAAGTTAGCTATTCACATGCTTCATCACTGTTTGATAGCTGGTTAGCTGCCTTAGCTCTGATATTTTCAGTGTTTAGCACTTAAATTTCAGTGTTTCTGAAATAAATTCACTTACATGCTCAAAGTATCGTAATCAAAACCTGCTGCTAAACACTGAAAAAAAAAATAGAAAATTAATCTCTAAGGAAAAGCCAGATGTCCTGCTCTTATCTGCAGAACTAAAGACAAAAAGATATACAGGACATACGCTAACAATGTGAAAGGTTGAAGGACAAGTGGTGTTTATCAATCAAGCAAGAAGTTGCCTCTAACCTTGTTCAATGATAATCTCTTCCCTGCATGGTGGGGGTTTTTTTTCATTCCTAAAAATAATGCCAACCTTTTAGATTAAAATGCGCTTTACTGTAGTTATAACACTGCTGGACATGCTGAATATAAGTAGTTTTTGAGGTATAAGTGGGAGAGGAAATAGACATATGCTCTTTTAATTTCTAGGGCCTTCAAGGTGCTCCTGGACTGCCAGGCATACCGGGACCCAGTGGACCATCTGTAAGTGTGTGGTATCACCTGTGATCTAATCTATCTCTGTAGGGGTTGCTATAACTATCTAGTAAAACTTCATATTCTTAGTTTCTTGTCCTTTCTTTTGGCTTTTAGGAGAGCAATAATAAAATCTTACCCGTACTGGCTCTAATAAAAGAAACTATGTTGAGAGTTGATGTTACTGAAAATACTGTCGTTGTCTGGGCTCAAAGTTTATGTAACTTAAATGGGTTTGGAGTTTTGGCATTCCGAGAGACTCTGTGAGGTTACATGACTTACGATGTGCAAACTTGCAGTTAATTATGTATTTGTACCCAAGTTACAGTAATAATGTTAGTAATAAAAATCTAAAAATAATTCCAGCTAGGCATTCTGAAAACATTTAATGCCGAAACCAAGTAATTGCTTGGTTTCACAGTTTTAGAAGTATGAGAATAAGCTGACAATATGTAAAGTGACTGAAAAATATCATTAAAAAATTTGGTATTTCTGGGAAAACTCCTCTTGGAAATTTTTTAAAATTTTATTTTCTACATACTGGATGGGATCACATTAGTTAGTATCATCATTATTCATTCCTAAGTTGCTGACAGTACTAATGCTTCCCTTCTTTCAAAAATTGTAATACATTTAGGAAGTTTAATGTGGAATATGTAAATTGGTATTTTAGCAGTAAAGCATGATTCTTAGCAGTATCAAGAGGTGCTAGTTAAGGTCAGTGCATTTAGTCTGCCAAGGTGAAAATGCAACCGCAAACACAAGTTTTACCCTTCAAAGGGCTTATCAGAAGGACACAGCTGTTGTATCAAACAGAAAAGAAATATTTAAACCTGGAGGAGAAACATAATTAGGTTTAAATGACCTTAAAAAAGTACAAGTTTTAAAAACTAAGCTACAATGCAAAAATACTGTGTTTCAGTGTTTCTTAACTAATATAAACCAATACTGTGTTGTGCAGGGAGCCACAGGAAGACCTGGACATCCCGGTCCAGCAGGGTCAAAAGGCGAAAAGGTATTCCTTCTTTTTCGTCTTGGTAAAGAAGGTTTTGCAATCCCATTATCCTCCTATGTTTCGGGGTTTTTTTAACATAAAGTGCAAACAAGAACTCGACGTATGTTTTCAAATTAATTTTTATTTGTGTCTTAATACAAGTACCTTCCCCAAACAATGCCATACATATGGGATTATATTTTGACACGTAGCCCTTGTGGTGTACGTAAATTGCAGAAAATGTTCTCTAAGTATGACGTATTATATAAAATTTAGGAAAGTGAAAATACATTTGTGAAATAGTATATGAGTAGTTACTACTTGCTCTGCTTCTCATTCTTTTACCAGTATTTTAGTCAAAAGTAACTGCATACTTTAAAAGTGCTTCACAAGTACTGAAAGTTATTGAGTCTAAGTCATTCTGCAAAAATATATAAGCTTCCTTTTAACTTAATTTACACTGTTACAGCACTGCTTTTTATCAATGTTTTCTGTGCTCTTTTATCAGGCACTCAATATTATCCATTATAACTAAGAGGTCAATTTCATTTCTTGGGCACCTCAGATCAGTGAAATACAGCAGACACAAACTTAACTTGCTGCAAAGTACTTTCTGGGAGAAGTTCTTCATTTTGTATATGAATACACTTCCCTGAAGTTTTTTTCAGCTTTAGCCTGGAGTTTTCCAGGCATAGCACTGCCACATCACTGTATATGATCCTACTAGTACTCTATAAAACCTAGACACTGGTATGAGTAGGAAATTATTTTGTAAATCTCTGAAATTATTTCAGTATAAAAATGGATTGAGAGCTGTCTCCTTGCAGGCCATAATAGCAAAAATTTACCACACTTATTTCCTTTTTATGTAAGCGAATGCAAAACACAAGTCTTTGTTAGTTCCTTGTTTACAATTCACACACAGGTGGGAATGAGAAGCCACTGCTCTATAACCAGTGTCTCATCGATCAAAAAGGGCAAAAGCCAGATGGCTGAAAAGCGATGAAGTAAACTGAAATACGGAATCATAGAATAGTTTGGGTTGGAAGGGACCTCTAAAGGTCATCTAGTCCAGCCCCCCTGCCATGGGCAGGGACATCTTCAACTAGATCAGGTTGCTCAGAGCCCACTCCAACCTGACCTGGAATGTTTCCAGGGATGGGGCATCCACCACCTCTCTGGGCAACCTGTTCCAGTGTTTCACCACCCTCACTGTAAAAAAATTTCTTCCTTAGATCTAGTCTCAATCTACCCCCCATTAGTTTAAAGCCATTCCCCCTTGTCCTGTCACAACAGGCCCTGCTAAAGAGTTTGCCGCCATCTTTTTTATAAGCCCCCTTTAAATACTGAAAGGCTGCAATAAGGTCTCCCTGAAGCCTTCTCTTCTATATAGCCAGAGTAATTTCTTCCTTCATCTGGGGAACATGTTTGAGAAATGATCATATAATATGCTTTCTAAAGTATAGTATTTTTATTCCCTGTGAAGTACTCCAAATCACTCTTTGGAGGCTGACAGTTTCTATCAATTAACAGGACCATTTGGAAATTATCCTAGTACAAACATTTAATTGCAGTTATATCTTTCTGGTGAGCTAATTATTGCCATTGAACACTTAGCTTGACTTTTGGCACCTTAATAATTTTAAGTATGCAGCCTAAGTGTCTCACTGACATATGTTTAATAAGATCCAACGAAGTCAGTGAAAAATTCTGGCAGACTTGTTCCAAATTATAGACTGTTTTTAACTGAGTCGTAGTGATGAGATTTTGAAAAGATCTTGTTTGGGAAATTTGATATTGAAACTTTTGTAACCATACTGTTCAGAGACCCCACCATTCTGCTGGGGCAAAAACTCAGAAGCTTTTTTTTTTTTTTTAATATAAGCAATTCAGTGCACATCAGCAGAATAGACTACAGATACCAGTAACCACAGATGAATATTTGACAATAAAAACCAAAAAGATATTCATTATATCCCTTAATAAAGAAGATCTTTATTTTTATTCAGTGTGTTTCTAAATAAACTGAACTTCTGAAACTGTAGCTCTTCTTTATTTACCTGTGAATGATCAACTGAGGATTGGCTTTTGCAAAATAATATACAAAGCATAAAATAAATGTTAACTTTTATCTGCCAGTTGCTTAGAAATTGATATTAACAACTCTTTTTTATTCTTCCTCTCCCTCCTGGTATATATAAAGTGTTTCACAACCCAGGTTACCACTACTATTTTGCCACAAGGAAGTTACTATACATAAAGCATCAAGTAACTAGCAAAATGAAAAACTAGTATCAAGTAATGGTAAATAACTTGCCTAAAGCTTAAGCAGGAGCTGGGCAGGAGAATTTATTCTTGATATTACCTGCTCATGTTGACTGTATCTCTTGTTTATTGTCATTATGGTCATCATAGCTTGGGTATGGAATAGATCTGGACATCAGTTACAGTAAATGAGTTATATGAATCTCTTGGTGTGTACTAGGGTAGTGAAGGTTCTCCTGGGAAACCTGGACCACCTGGGCCTCCGGTGAGACATTTTGTTTTATATTTTGAATGTTATATTAGGAACAATATATCTGTGAGTAAAATGTAATGTAATATAAAGAATTGACTGTCAATCTAATACATATTAATAGTGCAGGAAGACAACAATGTCTTTTTGCAAAAGATTTCTGTATTCCTTTTTTTTCTTGTGATTCATTGCTGAGTAAGTTCAGGTCAATAAAGCCATCCTAGAAACTGGGTCAAATGAGTTAACCTTGGTGTCCAATGTATTAGAGTAATTTAGACAGCTTGGGTACCTGAGATCAGGGAACTCAGGGAACCTAGGGAAAGTCCACGGAGCTCACTAGACTCCAAATTAACTGGAATGGTACCTAACACAAAATTAATTCTGGATAATTATAATAATAATAAATATCAAAATGTAACATACACTGAGATTTACAGGTTTCTCGTTTCATAATTCAAAAAAAGTCCCAAGCTGCATCAGTATGTATCTTATGTTCTTACTGAAATGTCTGGTATCTTTGAAAAATTGATCAAGAACAAAAATGATACCACAGCTTTGCTGAGCTATGGGGCTTGAACAGGGCAAGAGCTCTGCCTTTTTAATTCATAGTTGTGACACTTACTTGGTTTTTATGTTTTAAAGGGTATGCCTTACAATGAAAGAAATGGAATGAGCAGCTTATATAAACTCCAGGTATTTGTCTTTAATGTTATTATTTTTTTCCATCAACACCTAATTTTGGCCCAATTCAACTTTTAAACTTGCTGTTACAGGGAGGTGTGAGTGTCGCTAGTTATCCAGGTCCACCAGGACCTCCAGTAAGTATTAACAGAAACGTAATTTCTAATAGTTAATTAACATAGCAACAGAGGGGTTGGTTATTTGCATGCAGTTTTGGTAAGTGGCATGGAATTTGATTTTATATGTGAAAGATAGAAAAAATAAGGATATGATTGGTATGTAGTAAATTATAAAGTATGTGATTTTATGTGTTTATCAAGCATTTTAGCCCATTTTGGAGAGTATTTTTTTCTGATTTAAGTATTTCACCCTAGCAAGTAAAGGCTGCAAAAACGGTATATAATTTGGTATTGGACTCTTTAGTGAAAGTATCGTAATATCTTAAAATGTGTAACATAGTATTTATAGTTAGTAATGGTATAGCTTTGTAATGGATTAAATTTGATGCCAGAAATGAGAAGCTCATGAATTCTGATCTCAGTTCTGTCACTGATTCACTGCGTGTAGCTACAGTGCAGAAAAATGTGTCAAACCGAGAATTCTATTGTGGCAGTAATACAGGGCTGGTGTCTTCCACGCTGCAGAGTGCAGATGCACCACCTTGCAGCAGGACACTGTTGCTTTGGTTCTGTGGAGCCAAAGATGCTATGCACTTATTTAGGTCCTCCTTCTTTTTAGGGTCATAGGCAAGTTCTACTGTTTTAAGATGATTGTCATTTTGGTAACCACAACCTTTAGTGAGGACTTTGTCCTTACATTATGTGCCATTTGTAGTCACAGGCTCGCACCGGACTGCAGAGCTGTCTTTCTCCGTATTCTGGAACAGCAAGTTCCAGAAAAAACCAAGTATTACTAAGATTTTATACTAAATTAGTCAGCTGAGAGGGCTGGACTTAATACTGGTTCTAAATGCACTGCATTAGCAAAGTATACTCAATGCAGTAATACAAAAAAATATCATCTTATTGTGTAACTCTGTTCTTTTTTAAATGTGTTTCCACTTCTTCATTTCTTCGCAGGGTCCGAAAGGAGATCCTGGCACAGTGGTATGTATGAATTTTTTGGTTATGATAGAGAATTCCCCACGTAGTTCAACACATGATCCTAGTCACAAGGGTGGAAAAGTCCATTAACGTTCTTCAGCAGGTAGCTTACTTCCTGCAGAATCAGTACATCTGAAAAAGCCTTTTTAATTGCCAGGCTTGCAAATTTTGCAATTTCTGGTAAATAGTCCTAAGTGATAATATAATGAATGACTGAACATAGTATTAACTGCTTGTGGAATCATCTCTGCTGAGCTGTCCCTGGATATATCTAAGAATAGAGAATGTGCAATAAATCTTGAGGGCGCTCACAAGGCATGAGCGGGACAACCAGGGCATCAAGCCCAGCCAGCACGGGTTCATGAGAGGCAGGTCCTGCTTGACCAACCTGATCTCCTTCTATGACCAGGTCACCCGCCTAGTGGAGGAGGGAAAGGCTGTGGATGTGGTCTACCTGGACTTCAGTAAGGCCTTTGACACCGTCTCCCACAGCATTCTCCTAGAGAAGCTGGCGGCTC